CCTGCAGCTGTCCGCCACCGCTAGTCAGCCGCCGTTGCCGCCACCGTCAGTCCGCAGCCGTCGCCGCCTCTCCAACCAGAGCCGCACTCCGCCCGCCTCTTCAGACACCGACGGCCGCCTCTCCATCGCCTCGAAAGTGACCCCGCAGCTGGTGCTCACGGCGTCGGCCGCCTTTCTCCTAGCGATTCATGGAGTCCTCGATCAACGCTGTTCTTCTGGTCGGGAATTAGCTAATTTGGGGGTGGGGAATGATTTGGAGAATTAGATAATACAAAAGGACTAATATGCAATTTACGTAAATTTAATTATAGTACAAGTTGATTCTTGGGTCAATTATTTAATTTATGAAAACAGTTAATGAATGTACATGAATGTTGAATAAAAATGTACAAAATGCACAACATTATGTTTGAATATACTCAAATGCACAAACACACAAATTAACATTACTAAAAATATATTTTTATTATATTAATAATTTGATAAATGCAAAATAATGTTAACAGAAATACACATTATTAATGTTTTTAAAACATAAAATGCACATAAAAAAATCTCGATCGTTAGGTTGCAAAATAACGGTAGACGAAAGGCACATTATTTTCTATGGGAATGCATATTATTGATTTCGATATTTTATATATTATGCCTTTTCAGCAAAAGTATTATAAGAAATAGATATAAATATTGAAATATTAAATATTTTTATAATATAAATAATAAATCATTTACATTATTTAGGGTAATTTGGTTAACCGATTGAATAAACTGATTATTTCAATTTCAATTTTAGTTTGGTTTGGAATAAATCATTAAAGACGTGTATGTTGCAAATGCACAATAGTGTTAGATGAATTGCACATTAGTCATCATCATATTGCACAATATAGATTGACACTAACCGAATTAAAATTTTTAAATAATTTTTATATTTTCAGTTGGATTATATGTTTCGACTTTTTAAATCACGGTTATCTTAGGCCGATTTTGACTTTGTTTGTTAAATACCGAACCGACCGAACTATATGATTTTTTTTTTAATTAGTTTTTATATACATATTTATGTATTGCAAGTGTACATTAGGTTTATACGAGTTGAACATTAATGAATATAAGATTGCACAATGTATATTTCGGTTCAGTTGTATTATTAATATTACTTAGAATATGTTGCACTTTATATGGTAGTACATTGCACTTTATAACACAACTTGTTGCACCTTATTACATAACACGCTATAGTTATTAAAATTGCAGTAATTACGCTAATCGATCAATAATATTATTTGGTTAAGGTCGAATTTAGTTTTTTTAATTAAACAAAATAACCAAACATGTTGAACCATATGAAAAAATATTACCGATTATTTTGTTATTTCTATTATTTTATGAAAATTAATAATATTTTTTATGTATTGCAATTGCATCTTAGGGTTATACAGGTTGCACGTAAACGCCTATCAGATTGCACAAAATCCGGACGAGATTAACGAATAGAAATTCAGTACAAAATTTTATATTTAGGTCAATTATTATTGTTATTATTATTATTTTATATATTGGTTATTTCGGTATTTCATTTTTTTTATTCAAATAACCAAAATAAAAAACAAACTATATAAAAAAATATTATTTTTTTATATTTTATATAAAATTTTAATAAAAAATAACTAGATTCAAAATTTATATTTTGATTCAATTATAATTTATTTGTATTTTTTAATAATGCTTGGAATTGATGTCAATCAATTAATAGTAATATTGCTTGGAATTGATGTGCAATTAATAGGGCCAACATCAATTAATACATAAATTCAATTGGACTATATTATGAAATTCTGAAATTGCTATTAAGTCCCCAAGGAATGTCAAATTTTCAAAATCAAGTCCAAAAACAAATCCTATCTTCTAATTCTACAGCAACCCTTTTCAGCCCCCAAACCCGTTCATCTTCAGCCGCACAGCCGCCGTCCTCATCACCAAACGCCGCCGCNCAAAAAAAAAAAAAAAAACAAAAACAAAAAAAGAAGCAAAAAATAGAACAGCAAGTCTCCTCCGCCTGCCATCGCCGCAAGGTCTTCCAAAATCGCGTCGCCGGCCGATGAGAAGTCGTTCTCGCCGCGATGACGACCACAATAGTTCTGGTTGATCGCCGGAATCTTCCCCATCTTCATTGGCTGTTCTCAGAGGCGGCCGGGGACTGGTGGCGGAATTAATGGCTGGGTGTTCAATTTAATTCCGGCGTCGGCGGAGGGTATGGCTGCAGCTGCGAAGGGCGGCTGGACAGGGGCGGTTTTTTCGACGGATCCTGCTTGGTCGAATTCGTCTTCGGCGATGGGCTGCAGAGGCGCGGCGGCGGGCTGTAGGAGCGTGGCGGCGGAGCTCCGCCACTGGGTATTCCAAGGTCAGTTTTCTGCGTGTGTGTGTGTGAGAGACAAAGGGAGAGAGAGAGAGAGATGAGAGATAAATCTGATTTTATGATCTACATGTGGGCCCCACTGATTTTGGTGTATGGTGAATTACATAAATAGCCCATGATGTAATTATTTGTTTATGAATATTTATGTATTTACGATTTTGCCATTAATGAATTGACCATTGTTATTTAATTTTGAATTTATCATGTCCATTGATCGTACCGATCCAATGGTTCACAATCATTCTTATTTCTCGCATTAAGGATCATTCTCATATGACCCCTTCTCTCTATATATATATATATATATATATATATAGATGTGTGATTGTTGGTCGAAACGTGGAGGTTTGTGATTGGATAGAGACGTAGGTCCTAGTTGAGTTCTACTTTACGCGTGATTTTATCAATTCTCATTGGTTTTGAAATCGGATCCGACCACTACTCGGATCGGAATCGGCTGCCAAAAAATTGATCAAAATTAATAAAAGAATGTTTTTTTTTGTTTTTTTTTTGACAAGGTTCAAGTGTTTCATTTTTAAATTAATTTTAGTATTTCTCAATATATCGTTAATGTGAACTAATTAAGTTATATTAATTAAGTTAGACATTTTGTTAATGATTTTTTTTTCATATGTAATATTTATTGCTTAAAATAATAAATATGATCCAACCAGATAGTTTTATCTCTAACTTATAAATAAATCATTTATTATTTTATTTTCATGCAAGAATGAGTAAATAAACGAGCATGATGAGACGATAAACAGTGTCGGCCCTAGGCGGTCGCCCTAAGGCCGGGCCACAAGAATATATATATGTATATATATGCATATATAATATGTATTATGATTATAAAAAATATTAATAATTGAGATTTATACTTTAAAAATATTTTTTTTTTTTTGCAGGATTTTCATAAAATGGGGACTCTAATATTTTTATTTCATATGTTGAATTTTGTTAATGAAATTATTATAATAAAGCTAATAATTTTGTATATTTTTTTATTATTATTGTTGATATTCGACTTGATTGCA